ATCTGCCCCGATTCTTGGTGACTCTATGTGCAGCAGAACAGTCTCGTGCCATCATTGACATGTTCAAGTTCATTGTTTGGCCACTGTGTAATTTTAGTGCCTTCTAACCTTTGGGCTCATCTTCCAGCCCCATATGGGACAATGTTCTGTTGTGACTCAAGGGGTTTCATTGGCTGGGTTTTGAATGTAGATCACCAGGCCTTTCTTCCCAGTCTGTCACATTCTGAAAGCTCTACTGAAACCTGGTCACCATGGGTGACCCTGTTGGTATTTGAAAACTTTGTAGTATAGCTTTCAACATCACTGTTGTTGTTGTTAGTGCTGTTGGAGTTGGTACTGACTCATAGTGACTCTATGCACAACAGAATGAAACCCTACTTGGTCCAGGGCCAACTTCACAATTGTTTCTGTTTGAGCACATTGCTGCTGCCACTGTGCCAATCCATCTCTCTGGGGTCTTCCTCTTTTTCTCTGAGCCTCCACCTTACCAGACACGATATCCTTCTCCAGGGACAGGTCCCTCTTGACAGTATGTCCGAAGTATGAGAGATGAAGTCTGGTCATCCTGGCTTCCAAGGAGCACTCTGACTGCACTTCTTCCAACACAGATCTATTTGTTCTTTTGGCAGCCCATGGCACTTTATATATTCTCCTCCAACACCATAACTCAAATGCTTCAATTCTTCTATGGTCTTCCTTACTCACTGTCCAACTTTCACATGCATATGAGGTTATTGGAAATACCATGGCATGGGTCAGGTGCACCTTAGTCCTCAAACTGACATCTTTGTTCTTGAACACTTAAAGAGGTTTCGTGCAGCAGATTTTCCTAATGCAATACGTCGTTTGATTTCTTGACTGCTGCTTCCATGAGTGTTGATGGTTGATCCAAGAACAATGAAGTCTTTGACAACTTTAATCGGCATCATAGCCACACACAAGCCGCCATGTGAGGAGTAACTGAAGAAACTGAGTCCTGGTTATATTGCTGTTTGGCAGTGGCTATTACCCAAGGGTTATTTGGATGCAATATATTACAAAGGTTCCTATTTAGCAGGGGAAGAGCAGCTTGCTGGTTTGAGAAGCCAAAATGCAAGTGATCAGTAAGCCCCAGCAGAGGGCACTCTGCAAGGAAAAGCGATCTCTGGAAGGGCTTTGCTCTTACTTAGTCCTGGTGTGGCGCTGTGGGATAAAGCTCTGGATGGAAAGGTCAGTTTAAACCATAAGGTTGGCAGTTCAAACTCACCAGTTGTTCCTTGGAAACCCCATACAGGGTTGCTATGAGTCGGAACCGACTTGATGGCACTTAACAACAACTTGTCCTGGTGTGGTGCTATGGGATAAAGCACTGGACCGCAAGCTGGGTTTGAACCACAAGATTGGCACTTTAAATTTACCAACCACTTCTTGGAAACCCTACACAGGATCACTATGAGTCAGAATCGACTCAACGGCACTTAACAGCAACAACTTTATAAAGGAGTTTAGTTGCGGTGCTGTAGGATAAGCACTCGACCTCAATGTCAGTTTGAACCCCGAGGTCAGCAGTTCAAGCTCACCAGCCACTCCTGTGAAACACTTTACAGGGTCGTTATGAGTCGGAACCGACTCGATGGCACTTAGTAACAACAATTATATAAATGAGCCCTGGTGTGGTGCTACAGGATAAGCATTGGACTACAAGGTCCACCTGAACCTCAAGGTTAGCAGTTCAAACTCACCAGCTGCTCCCCAGAAACCCTATATAGGGGCGCCATGAGTTGGAACTGGCTCAACGACACTTAACAACAGCAACAATTATATAAATGGAGTTCTGGTGGGGCGCTCTAGGATAAGCCCTGGACTGCAAGGTCGGTGGTTCTGTTTTTGTTAAGTGCCCTCCCCCATTTTAGCCAGTGTCCAAGTTGCCCATCCCTGTCTACTCTGTGTATGGAGGGGTGGGAATGATCCTTGCTGTAAAGATTGGTTCCCTCTTTTGAGCTACTGCATCCAAAAGTGTAGGTCAAGTTCATCAAATTACTCTTTTTTCCCTCTTCTTTCTTCTTCTAGTTGAGCTCTGATCATCCAGTCATTGAAGCCAGATCAAGTGGGTATTATCTGCAAGTGTGGGTGTTCTTATGCAAATGCCCTCTCTTCTTATCAGCTGGACGCTTCACTCTCCACTCTAGTCCTCTGTGGCTGTGTCACTGACTCTGGGCCCAAGAGTCCCCAGGTCTTGCCACACTGCTGGCCAACCAGGTCTCCACCCGGGTTCACAGGAGTCTATTGAATATTGTAGGGCTTGCCTAAATTATTGCAGGAATTTCTGGACTGGTCTCTCTGCCTCTACCCTAGCCAACACTCCCACTCCTAGACGGTTACTCACACAGCATCAAAAGTGCTCTTGCTGAAATTTAAATGTTAAGTCCGATGCAAATCCTTCAGTGACTTCTAACTGCACACTGAGTAAAATCCAAATCCCTTTGGATTTTACATGGCCCAGATGATCTCCTCCTGCTCTCCCTGCACTCAACCTATGCATAGTGGTTAAGAGTGCAGCCTTTAGAGCCACACGACCTGGATTCCAATCCTGGCTCTACCATCTACTAGCTGTGTGACCTAAAGAAAGTAACTCAACCTCTCTCCACTTTAGTTTCCTCATCTGCAAAATGGGGGTAAATAGCATCTACCTCATAAGGCTGTTGAGAGGAGTAAATGAGTTATTGTATGTAAAGCACTCGGAATCGTATGTAGACACTAAATAAGATATTTTGTTAAATAAACAAAAATCTCCTGTAAGTCCTCCTCTTGCCAACTCCTCTCCATCCATGCTGGTTTTGCTGGTTCTCAAACATCCTCCTGTCTCAGGACATGTGTGCTTACTGTCACCTTTACCGGAAACACTTTTCTCCCAGATCCCTACATGGCTTACTCCCCATCTTCTTGCAGGTCTCTGGCAACGCCACTTTAACAGGGAGGTCTTCCTTGACTCAACGTGTCTTATAAAATAACTACACTCCATCCCTCTCTGTCCCTTTGTTCTGCTTTATTTTTCAATCACAGCACTTATTCACATTTGATACAGCTCACCAGCCGCTCCTTGGAAGTCCTATACAGGGTCGCTATGGGTCCGAATCGACTGGAAGGCACCTACCACCACCCCCACCACCAACATATATGCATATGTTTATTGTCATTCTACCCCAACAAGAATTAAACTCCATGAGGCCAGGGATTTGGTTTAACTTGTTTACTGTTACAACCTTAGCATCTAGAACAGTCTCTAGTACATAGTAGCTGCTCAATTAATATTTGAATGACTAAAAGACAAAAGCAAGAAAATAAAGGTCATAATCCATGTGCTAAGATAACAAGGCATTAAAAAGAATTGTACCTGCACAAAGGTACGAACATTCTAACAGTATTGAAAGATCCAAAGGGAAAATAAAAACCTGTTTTTCAATTACCCTCATCTGTTTCCCTAAAGGTAATCATAAAAACCAATTGCCATCGAGTTGGCTGTGACTCATGGCATCTTCACTACCACCATGATCAAAATGCTTTTTACCTGGTGTGGAACTGGAGGATAAGCATTGAACTGGTAATCATAGGTTGGCAGTTCAACTCCACCAACTGGTCCTTGGAAACTGAGTCACTGTGGTGGGAATCCACTCGATGGCACTTAACAACAATGTCTGTAGATGCCCCTGGTGGCTTGGTGCGTTAAGCATTGGGCTGCTAACCATAAGGTCAGCAGTTCATATCTACCAGTGGCTCATTGTGAGAATGATGAGGCTGTCTAATCTCATAAAAATGAACCGTCTCAGAAACTGTGTCCTTTAGGGTCGCTATGACTCAGAATCCACTCCATGGGCTTGGTTTTGAGTTTTTAATGTCTGTGGCTCTGAGCTACACCTACACTAAGAACTACATGTCTCTGGATCTTAACCTTTAGAATAGCATGGTCCCAGACTAGATTTGAATGTGAAAGCTGCAAGATGGATTTAGATCTTGTCATGACGTAAATCACACATTATATGCCACCATCTTTTCTCCTGGCTCCAGCATATTTCTGGAGTGAAATGTCAGCTAAGTATGTCTTACGTCCTCAATGATATTATTAGCTCCTTGAAGGGAGAGGACCAGTTTTACACTCCTATCTACAGATTCTAGCTGTATGGGACAGATACAGACCTCAGTAAGCACTGATCAAATCAACCTGCTGGGTAAAGGCAGAGTAACTGGCAAGCTAATAAATTACTCTGTGTCTTGGTTTCTTCCTCTATAAAATGGAGATGATTGTAGTCCGTGGAGTTATTGTGAAGGAGACATGCAAATTGCTCAGCACAATGTTTAATGCTTCATTTGCTCAACTGTTAGCTATTTTAACCATGTTAATTTCTTCCACTCTAGTAGGTGAGACTATGGAAAAGGGTGAATGTAGCAGCTCTCACAAAATATGATGTTGTCAAGTGCTGTCGAATCGGTTCCGACCCGTAGCGACCCAGTATAGGGTTTCCGAGGAGTGGCTGGTGAGCTTGAACCGCCGACCTTGCGTTTTAAATCGACCTTGCAGTCCAGCGCATTAATCCACAGTGCCAAACCAGGACTCACAAACATAGGGTACGCAATTCAACCCGTGCAGTTACACTGGTCGGCTTCCTGTGCATAGGGTCTAGGTCTTTTTTGCTTTTCTGCCACACCGCTGAACAGAGATACTTGGATTTGTCTGGGAGTGAAGGCCCTGTCGCCACAACCGGGAACCTTTTTCATTCTTTATTCAACAATATTTTATAGCGAACCCAGTGACAGGAGGTAGGGATTCAGTGACAGACCAGTCTAGCATCCTTGCCCCGTTTCACTAAGGGGGAAAAAAAAAAAAACAAACCTTCCTCAGGACGCGAGTCACACAGAGCAAGAAAATTCGCTTCCGTGCTAGTGCGCAGGCGTCCGTCTCGAGGTCAAGGACTTCCGGCGCAAGCTCTGTAGACTCCAATGAGCACTAAGCGCCCGGGCAGCGCATGCGCAACACAGCCTCACCCGGAAGTCGACATTTTGGTGCAGCGCGCGATACCGCGAAGATGAAGTAAGGTCCTAGTTTTTTTCGGAGGAATCTGGAGCTGGCCTGGGTGGCAGAGGGTCTGCGGGTCCGAGGGTCGAGAGAGATGCAGAGACTATAGAGTCCAGCCCCCTAGTTTTGCTTTCCCTTAGCTCAGCCCGGGCCTCACTTTTCTCCTTTTCCACCCCCTCTGCAGCCCTTTGACAAAGGTTAAGCTGATCAACGAGCTGAATGAACGGGAGGTCCAGCTTGGGGTGGCCGATAAGGTGTCCTGGCATTCCGAGTACAAGGATAGCGCCTGGATCTTCCTAGGTGAGTATTCTGGCTGCCTCCTAACTTGTCAGCGTTCCTGCTCACATCCGTCTACCAACTCTTGTTAATCTGTATTTGTTCTTAAATCTATTTCTGTATCGTTTTTCCCCATCGTTTCTCGCTTCGTCCATATCGATGCTAGTTAGCGTTACAGCTAATAAGAGTACGTCACTGGCTTCTCATTCCAGTTATACAGCAGAGGAAACTGAGGCTCATAGAAATGGGCCAGCTTTCTTACGGTCATAGCTAGTAAGTGGAGTAGCCAATACTATATGGCATTCTAGAACTCATGGTCTTAGCCACTATCCCATATTACTATAACCGTCTCCCCACCCCAACTTCTCAGTTCTCTAAATTGATATTTCTCATCTAATTAGCTCCTGCTTTCTATCCACGGCCATATTACCATCTCGATATTCACTTTGTGTTATGACAATTAATTGTGGCAAGCACTTTATATGCATTGTTTTGGAGCCCCATGGGATAAACACAGCAAGGTCGGTTTGAACCACAAAATCGGCAGTTCAAACCTTATAAAATCGGCCACTCTTCACAAACCTTATAAAGGGTCGCTATGAGTCAGAGCCGACTTAATGGCACTTAACAAAAACAACAACATGCATTGTTTTATTTAATTTGTATAAATTCTAATATCTCCGTTTTACAGATGAGGAAGGACACATTTGGAGAGGACTGGAATGTATATGTGGGTGGAGTTAATATGAAATATATTTAAGCAGATTTTGAGTCATAGCTATAAAATTTTGGATAAAGAGGAGAGGAATTCAAGAGGCGTTTGTGGAAACAGCGTTTTGTGCTGACAACTGTCTGCTTCATCACTAGGATTTTGAGTGTGAGAGGACGGAGTTATCAGATCAGCTTGGTTAAGGATGACACCCACCTTAACCTGTGCTTCTGCGACTTATATGTACTTTTGTCTTTGCATTAGACTGAGTTCTTTGAGGGCAGGGACTGTGGCTTATTTATCTTTACACCCCCAGCACATAACTGTGGTGCTGAAATGTGGTTGTCTCTTCTAGGGGGGCTTCCATATGAACTGACTGAAGGAGATATCATCTGTGTGTTTTCACAGTAAGTCCCCTTTCATTTCCTGCACACTTTTTTTCTATTGGTGTCTTCCTATCACTTTAATACCATTCCTTCATGTAGTAAGAGTTGTTGTTGTTAAGTGCCGTCGAGTCAATTCCAATCCATAGTGACCCTGTACAGGGTTTCCAAGGCTGTAAATCTTTACGGGAGCAGAAAGCCTCATCTTTCTCCCGCGGAACAGCTGGTAGTTTCGAACTACTTACCTTGCGGTTCGCAGCCCAATTCGTAACCACTACGCTACCAACTCCTTTGTCATGTGTTGTGTTGCTTTGGACTCATTTTTAAATCATTTGGTGTATTTATAGTACATGACCATCATTACTGTTTCTTGGTGCTCAAATTATTCCAATTTCAGGGTCTGTAGGAGTCCTGGTGTGAGGCTGTAGGATAAGCACTAGATTGTTAGTCACAGGTTGGCAGTTCAAAACGACCAGCTGTTCCTTGGAAACCCTTTATAGGGTTGCTATTAGTCGGAATGACCTAACAGCACTTAGCAACAACAACAGGAGCCCTGGGGTGCAGTGGCTAAGCATCCAGCTGCTAACTGAAAGATCAAAAGTTCAAACCCATCTGCTGCTTTTTGAGAGACATGTTATAAAGTGTCGAGTTTGTTCCACCTCATAGCGACCCTATGCACACCAGAATGAAACACTGCCAGGTCCTGCTTCATCCTCACAATTGTTCTTATGTTTCAGTCCATTGTTGCTGCTAATGTGTCATTCCATGTCATTGGGGGGGGGGTCTTCTTTTTTGCTGACCCTGCACTTTACCAAGCATGGTGTCCTTCTCTAGGGATGGCTACCTCCTGACAGCATGTTCAAAGAACAAAAGACAAAACCTTGTCATCCTGGGTTCTAAACAAAATTCTGGACGTACTTCTTCTTCCAAGACAGAGTTGTTTGTTCTTCTGGCAGCTCATGGTACTTCCGATATTTTTCTCCAACACCATAACTCAAATTCATCGATTTTTCTGTGGTCTTCCTTTTTCATTGTCCAACTTTCACATGCATATGAGGCTATTGAAAATACCTTGTCTTGGTCAGCTGCACCTTAGTCCTCAAACTGACACCTTTGTTATTTAAAATAGTTCAAAGGGATCTTTTAAAACAAATTTCCCTAATGCAATATATCATTTGATTTCTTGACTGCTGCTTCCACAAGTGTTGATTGTGGCTCCAGGCAAAATGAAGTCTTTGGCAGCTTCAATCTTTTCTCCATTTAGCATGATGTTATTTATTGGTCCAGTGTTTTCTTTAAGTTGAGGTGTAATCCATATGAAGACTGTACTTTTTGATCTCCGTTGGTATTTTAAGTCATCTTTGCTTCCAGCAGGCAAAGTTGTGTCATCAGTAGTTTGTTAGTATATCTTCTTCTTCCAATTCTGATGCCACATTCTTCATACAGTCTAGTGTGTCAGATTATTTGTTTAGCATAGAGATTGAACAAGTATGGTAGAAGAATACAACCCTTGCCCACACCTTCCCATCCAATAAGCACTGAACCACGAACTACAAGGTCTGTGGTCTGAGCGCACCATCTACTTCATGGGAGAAAGATGAGGCTTTCTGCTCCTGCCAAGATTTAAAACCTCAGAGACCCTATGTAGGGTCACTATGAGTCAGACCCACCTTGATGGCACTAACAACAATAATCGTCTTTCTCACAGATGTAGTGTTTGATTCCTTTGTGTTTCATTTGGTGAGGTCCATGTGTGTATGCTGTTTAAAAAGGTATTTGCAATGAGTAAGTCATTGGTCTTACAAAATTCTGTCATGCCACCATTAATATGGCCAAGGCCACATATTCCAACTACTGATCCCTCTTTGTTACCATATTTTACATTGTAATCACCAGTAAGTACCAGTGCATTTTGATTGTATGTTTGATCAATTTCAGACTGAAGAAGTTGGTAGAACTCTTCAATTTCATCATCATTAGCTTTAGTGGTTAGTGTGTAAATCTGAATAATAGTACTACTAACTGGTACTCCTTGTTGTTATGTGCTCTTGAGTCGTTTCCGACCCATAGCGACCCTGTACAGGGTTTCTGAGGAGCAGCTGGTGAGCTTGAACCACCGACCTCGCAGTTCAAACAGCTTTGTAATCTGGCACATTAACCCACAGCACCACACCAGGTGCTCCTTGTAGGTGTGTGGATATTATCAAGAATCTTGAAACGCTCTTTTTGATAATGAGTATGATGTATTCCTCTTCGGTCTATTTTTCCTGGAGCAGTATATGATATAATATTGTGATTCAGAATTGCCACTCTCATTCCATTTCCACTCATTAATGCCTAGAATATCGATGTTTATGTGTTTCATTTCATTTTTTCTGACCATTTTGAGTTGTGGTACATCAGCAAATGAAAGTCCCAAAAGGTTTACTCCATTTACGTCATTACTCTACTTTGAAGCGACAGTTCTTCCCCAGTCATATTTTGAGTCCCTTCCAACCTGAGGGACTCATCTCTGGCATTGTATCAGACACTGTTCCACTGCTGTTCATAAGGTTTTCAGCGGTTAACCCTTTATAAAGTCATCCATCTCTCCTCCTTTTTAGTCTGTCTGTGTCTGGAAGCTCATCTGAAACCTGTCCACCATGGGTGACCCTGCTGGTATTTAAAATACCGGTGGCATAGCTTCCAGCATCGCAGCCACTCAAAAGCCACCACAGTATACGTAACCAAAACAAGAGAAAGATGTGGGAGTCTTCTGTCATTTCCACTTTGCTCTATGGGACCATTGTGAGTTGGAATTGACTTGGTGGCAACTGGTTTGGGGTTTTTTTCAACCCTTTATTTTGAAATGACGTCAGAATTAAAACAGGACAATTGTTGCTGAGTGCCATTGAGTCAGTTCTGACTCAGAGCGACCTTGTATAGAATTTTCAAGGAGCAGCTGGTGGGTTTGAATCTCCCAACTTGTGGTTAGCAGTCCATACCAAGACTCCTGGAAAGTTGTGGTATAGTATTAAAAAATACCTGTGTCCTCCCCAACCCAGCATCCCAGATGTTAGCACGTTACCCCATTCATTCTGTCATTACTTCTCTCTACCCAAACTTGCTGCCACTGATTTGTTCTGATTTCTCATAGCACTCCTGTAGGACAGGATTTCTAAGGCTGTAAATGGTTACAGAAGCACACTGCTGTGCCTTTCTCCTGCAGAATACTGATTTTCTCCAGCAGTTTGAGATGCCAGTTTTATCATCTACTGATTTTTCCATGTGTACTCAGATTGTTTTTTAGCTTTGCCTTCTGTTCTTCTGTCTGTGCATGCGCCAGTGCCTCATTATTTTCATCAAAGAAGCTTTTAGTATGTTAAGATTCCAGCATGTCTCTAATAGCTTTTCAAAACTACAAATGTTCATTTGTTAATTGATGCCTGATGCCTTTGTTAATGTAGGAGGACCCTTGTCAATGTAAAATAAGTATTTATTCTATAAAACGAATAGGTATGGAGAAGTTGTTAACATAAATCTTGTGAGGGACAAGAAGACTGGGAAGTCCAAAGGCTTCTGTTTCCTGTGCTATGAAGACCAGAGAAGCACAATTCTGGCTGTTGATAATTTTAATGGAATCAAGGTGAGTGTGTTTCTTAAATAGGGATTGCCTGGTCTTTTTCTGTGCTTAGGGGTTAATTTCCATTCTCCACATTGTTCCTACAGTACTGGTCAACTGGGGAGAGAGGTTGGGGCCCACTTGCCAGGAAATGATGGTCTTGGCTTCTGCTGCTGCCAGGACCTTGTTCGTTCTCCTCACCTTTGATCTGTTAGCAGACCCTCCCGTCTCTTCACCTTCTCCTCCCTACTTTGATCTCTGATGCCTTTGCAAGCACTGCGTGTCCATGTTGACCTGTGTCAGGGAATAGTCAACAGGGACTCTGTCTTCCTGTTCCTCTCCTCTGGGCCCTCTCACCCGCCCTTACAAGTAAGGCCTTCATCTGAGACGGGGGGTGGGGGGACGCGGGGTGGCAGAGCCAGGCTTGTTTGCCATCCACATAGTCCGCGTGCTCATTTCTGAAGAACATTGCAGTTGAGTGAACATTGTCATAGGAAGGGGGGGACTCTTGACTGGGCAAGCCTGTGACGAGACTGTAGGACAGGGTGAGATAAAGTTCACTGCTTGGTTTTGAAGGGAACCGGCCAGTTTCCTTTATGGCGTATCACTGTCAAAGGAAGGTTTTCACACTAGCTTTGAACTAGGTGACAGAAACGGCTCAGGCTTAAAGGTAATCGTGAACACATCTTCTCATGTTGAGAAAATGGATAAAATCCAGCATTTTCTGATTCTAATGACTTTGTCTATAGGGTAAGTCTGTATCTGCCTGAGAAAAGAGCATCATGTTAAGTGAGGGGGTTATGTTTTTTGTGGTTCGCCTGGAGAGTTGTGATTCACAACAGAAATACCAGGATAAGCTGATTATCCCTTAGCTTTGTCTGGTAAGAGTAGAAGGATCCCTGGTGGTGCTATGGGTTAGGCATGAGGCTGCTAACTGCAAGGTCAGCTGTTCAAACCCACCAGCAGCTGGGCTGGAGAAAGATGAGGCTCTCTGCTCCTATAAAGATTTATAGTCTCAGGAATCCATAGAGGGTCACTAGGAGTCAGAAATGACCTGATGGCAGTAGATTTGGCCTGTTGGGTTTTTGGTGAGGGTAGAGCAAGGAGAGAGGGCTTTTTAAAAAATGAAGGGAAAAAAAAGGGAAAGAAAGTGGTCTTTTCTAGCTTTCTTACTCCTCCCAAGTCTTGGTCCAACTGTGTGTCACCTAAGTGCTGTACCAGACAGCTGTGAAAACAGCCACAGGGAGCCGGGAGCTAGATCTTGGGGCTTCCTTTGAGTATCCAGGCTTTTCCAGAGAATGTTGTGCAGATTGGGCTAGCTTGTTTGTGCACCTCAGACTCTCACAGTTGTTGCTGAGCTGGTGCTTTGCAATCTGTTTCACTCCACAGCACACAGAATAGGGTACCCCATGACACCCGGTGGGGCTGCAGGTCCAACTGCTCCAGGGCCTTGAGCTGCTCCAGGCCTCCTCTGGCTGCTAGTGGGCTGAGTGGATTCCCATGTGGTGAAGGAGCACTCGTGAGGCTCTGGTTAGGCAGTTGGCTGTAAGCGAAAGGTTGGCGATTTGAACCCACCATCTGCTGCCCCATGAAGATGACCGCCTTGGGAACCCTATGGGGCAGTTCTGCTCTGAGTCAGAATTGATTCACCAGCAATGGGTCATGTTACAAAATGGTGGTTCAGTGGTGGAATTCGTGACTTCCATGCAGGAAGCTTTGGTTTGATTCCTGGGTGGGACACTTCATGTGCAGCCTGTCTGTCAGTGGAGGTTTGTGCATTGCTATGCTGTGGAACTAGTTTCAGCAGAGCTTTTAGACTAAGACAGACTGGGAAACAAGACTGGCATGGGCTCACCATGAGGCAGGGACTAACTTCATGACCAGTGACAGCAGCTGCAGCAAATCCGTGCTGTGATACACTAGGTCGGCAGGTCTGCTTGAGAGATTTCCCCGAGGAATGGAAGTGACAGGGTCAAGGGCCAGATAGTTCCACTCTCTGCTGAACCACTGCCTGTCTTGCTTAGATTAAAGGACGAACCATCCGAGTGGATCATGTGTCTAACTATCGTGCTCCTAAAGACTCAGAAGAGGTAGATGATGTGACCAAAGAAATCCAGGAGAGGGGCTGTGGGGCTCATACCCCCTCAGCCAGTTCATCGGAGGGCTCTGACCAGGACAAATCCACAAAGAAGCACAAAAAAGGTGAGGTGTTACTTCAACAGTCGAGATGATTCGAGGGAGTGTTAGTGTCTGCCCTTTGTAAGCATGCACTGATAGTTGGAAATCAACTATTGATTTCAGTGAGGGATGGGAGATAGCAGTTTAAGGCCACACAGTGTATCATAGTCTAGGACCATCAGGGGCACGCCTGGAGTTCCAACAGTCATGTTTACTAACCTCTTGCATTGACGGAAATGACACACCAGAGAAATTGTGTTGTCTCATGACACAAAGGACAAGGAAGAGCTCCTGTAGGATTTTGGGAAGGGTAGAGGGTTACAGGTGCAGTTTAAATTCAGGTGAGTTGTAGTAGGTTTAAAGCAAAAGCAAGACTGTGGGAAATGATGGGCTCCATGTCTGGCCTGCGGAGTGGACCGAGGGCCCTGTTTCTTGGAAAGCGTAAAGTAAAGGTGTATGTGTAATGCTGTATTCAGAAACTCTTTGTCTCTCTCTTTTTCTAATACAATTTTACTGTTTCCAGTGAAAGTTTACAGAGCAAAGCAGGTTCCCATTAGTTTGAATGAAATATTAGTTTCATTTTGCAAAACGTGTCAACAGTCTCTCTAATTGCCTTCTGATTGTTCTGTTTCCAGTACTCTGATTGCCCTGCTGACTCCCTTTCTCTTAAACTTTGCGCTTGGGCTGCTGATGCGAGCTCGGCACACTCATTGATATCATTTCAGGCAGGCAGCGAACGTGCTGATAGTTTGTGCTTTTAGAGTGCAGGTTTCTCAGCGAGAAAACAGGAATCCTCAAGAAGGGCAGAACGTGAAGACACTTCGTACCTCTGACACGTCCTGGGAAGATAGTTCCTTTAACTTTGCAGCTGGATTGCTCGGGGTCTGTGAACACAGTCTGAGGGCAGTGGCAGGGCTGACCTTTATTTTCTCAGTTCAGGACAATTTGTAATGTCTCAGATGTCAGAAGCAGCATAGTCTCCATGGAGGAGTAGAAAATATTTGATCCATCTCCTTTTCAAATGTAAGAATACATGAAATTTCGACACTGAGATCTGCCAGTAACTACTTCTGTTGTCAGCGGGGTGGGATTCTCTTTTAGGCGGCTGGCTCACCATTGGTCATGGTCAGTATCCCATAGATGCAGGCAGAGTGAGAGTTGGATTGTAACTGTAGGTTGCAGGTTCCCCACCTTGCTGCAGAGAGGCAAGCTTACTTCGGTGCCTTCTGAGAGGGCAGTCAACTGATACAGCATGTGATATATTGAGGGAGACAGAGCGCCTGCTTGCTTCTCTGAAATGCTTGCCTGGAAGTACAGCTTTTCATGCTCTCCCTCTTCCCGCATGGGAATACTTTTGAACTCCTGACACTCAGATTTGCTGTAAGGTACTCAAAGAAGAGAGAAGTCTTTTTTTTTTTTTTCTTAAAATGGAAATTCTTTATTTTTTCCCTTTTTTCTTCTCATTGATTACTCCTCTTTTCCCTCCAGACAAAAAGGAAAAAAAGAAAAGAAAGAAAACCAAAGAGAAGGCTGACCGGGAGGCCCAGGCAGAGCTGCCACCCTTGTCTTCTTCATCACCCAGAATCAAGGTGATAAAGGAGGAGCCTGGCTTAAAAAAGCAAAGCAACAAGAACTCAGAAAAGGGTCAGAAGACAGAGCCCAGAGAAGGCCGGAAGCCCTACCCCAGCTCCCCCGAGGTCAGGGCGGCCTGGCGTGATGGAGCGGCAGACCTGGAGAGGGAGCCCAAGAAGGAGAAATCGAAACATGAGCACAAATCCTCGAGCAGGAAGGAGGAAAGAGAGGAAAAGACCTGGGATCGAGACAGAGGTCGAAGCTCAGACATATATTCTAGCTGGCACGATGATCGTGCTGAAGGGCACAGTCACAGAAGTAGAAGCAGGAGCCGAGAGAGATCCCACAGGTATAGGAGGGCCTGCCATTCCCGGAGTCCGGAGGTCTCCAATCCCACAGACCACAGGCACCACTGAGACCATGATGGCCTGCTTGCGAGACTTGGGACTGAACGGGATTTTAAAAGGAAATCAAATTCAATTCTACTTTCTGATTTTCTGTTTCTGTACTTAAAGTCTCTGAGGCGGTATTCTTTTTTTTATCTCCCTGAGTATTATCATTTCAGTGGGAGGGAGCTGTCATTTTATAGCTAAGCATCCTGGGTTAGTGTAATCCATTGGCCTTCGGAATAGACTTGTACTTATCAGTCTAATTTTTGGTTCATAAATATGGCCCTTGAGCCTGAAGACTCCAGTTTATGATGAGATTTGCAGGAAAGGAAACAGACTTGGCAAGCCTCGAATCCCTGGTCTCTGTGCTAGATGCTTAGATCCCAGCCTTTCCAGTTGCCAGGTAGAGAGATGCTACTTGTCTAGGCTAAGACACCTGGGTACTCATTCTTGAGACCATCCAGCCTCTCACCCCTCCCTTTTTTTTCCCATATGTTTCCTTTTTATGGAATTTGTTTCTGTTACAGAGTTCTTGCATTGCCAAAACCATGCCTGAGAATTCAAAGAAAGAAATGGTACAATGGACAGCCTCATCTACCCATCATACAGTATATAAAACTTGATTCATGTGCATTTTGATAATTTCACAATCTTTTAAAAAGTTTTAACAAGAGTTGGAATTTTCAATCTGCTACAGGTCTTTGGTAGCGGTAGTGGTTACGAATCGGGCTGTGAACCACAAAGTCAGCAGTTTGAAACTACCAGCTGCTCCGTGGGAGAAAGATGAGGTTTTTTGCTCCCATAAAGATTTACAGCCTCAGAAACACTGTACAGGGTCACTATGGGTCGGAACCAACTCGACGGCACTTAACAACAGGTCTTTAGATTTGTAGTATATAATGTGCCTTTAAATAACACTTCCCCATATTTGTCTCAGTTCATTCCTCAGGAATATAACCCCCAATAAGATTTTACTAGAAAGGACACATACTTTTTTCAGGGATACTGTTTTCATGTTAAGGTTTTTGGTTCCCAAATGAAGTCTTCACTTTAACCATGAATTCCTTGTTTCCCTTTGAATTCATCCAACCTCTCCTTGGCTCAGCTATTCATCCAAATACAATAGAAAGCAACATCTTGCCTGCCATCTTAAATAATGCAACACTATTGCCCCAAACTGGCCAGCAGAGTCCAGCTCCTGCACTGACAACTTTGACCTAGATTGACCTCCTAAAGGAAAACGCTCCATGACCCTATCAATCATCAGTATAGTTCGACTCACTTATTTGTGTCACTCTTGTCAGTAGCAAGCCTGCAACTCCAGCATTTGGCAAAGGGATTTATGTAACAGAGAGAAACCCAGACTGCATCAAGTGGTCACATACCACTTTGAAAATTTTCTATTGAACAAAAAAAAACAAAACTACAAACTATCAGAATAGCTCATTAGATGGGAGAAACTTTTCAATAACCCTGGGTAGCTTTCCTCAAGTCCCTTTTAAGGACTAAAAAATGACTGGATGGTGTGTCTGCTGTGATTATTAAAAACAGAAGTGCTACATCACCTGTTTTTTGCCCCTGATCCCCCAAATGGACAACATAAAGACATACCAGAGGTTGATAACAGCGTTAGCTGGGCCAGTCGCTGCATCTACAGACTGTCCAGAACCTTAAAAATGTGGGCACAAATATGATCTGGAATTCTTATAAAAGATCACACAAGATTCATGAAACTAAAACGGGTCTTTAGTCAAGGGTCTGCTCACATTGCTTGGCATTTATAAGGACAGGTATGAATCCTCTAGCCTGCCATTTACTACACAATTCAGACCTGATTTATAGGCGCACTGCCTTTTATAAAACGGAGTTTTGTACATTTCTCTTCATTTTTGGCTGATAGGCCTGTATCTCCCACCACCCTTGCCACTTATCTGTATCTTAGACGGCTATAAGTCAGAACTCAGTATATGTTTGAGATTCACCTTGCTGTAGCTTGTATCAAAATATCAATGTCTGCATAATAAGTACTCTATTGGATGTACAAGGCGCCCTGGTAGCCACATGGTTGGTGCTTCAAACCCACCAGCCTCTTCCGGGGAAAGATGAGGTTGGCTGTTGCCATAAAGATTTACTGTCTCGAAAATCTGACATAGGGTCACTATGAGTCTGAATTAATGTGCTGATATGAACTCTTTTTTTAAAATTGTTTTTATATGCCTTTCATTTTATTCACTGTTCTAAATGGTTTTTAATGCATAAGTCTGGTACTTTTCTGGTAAAATTTATTTCTAAGTGTTTTATGCTTTTTAAAATGGAATTGTTTTCTTTTTAGATTCTGTGCTTGGATATAGAAATGCAAATGTTTTTGTTTCTTTGTTTTAAACTATACAGAGCTATAATTCACTTATCTTGTAATTGACCTATTTAAAGTATACAATTAAATGGATTTTAGTATATTCACAGATGTGTACAGCTATCCTCACAGTTGATTTTAGAATTTTCTCATCACTTCTAAAGAAAACCCCAGACACTCATTTTTTTTTAGTGTTTTATTGTAAATTATGTGATAATTTACATGGGGCATTAGTTTTACATTCATCCTATCGTATATCATCTCATTGCCATGGTTACAGTCCCCTCCATGCATCATCAACCGACCAAAGGGTATATACCCTGCAAGACTACCCCCCATCCTCCAGGTCTTAAGCACATAGTCGCTCACCCTCTCTGGATCTGAAGTCCCCAGCTGCACCATCGCTCCACGTCATCGTCTCTGCCTCCATCTCAGGCATCACTGCTTCTCTGGGTAGGGTCCTGCTCTCCGCTCTTCTCCTTTGATGGTCCTAGGGACCTCTGCTCCTAGACTGGGAAGTTATTCACTCCCTTCCTTGCTATGAAACGTCTACCTTTACATTTCCAACCCTCACAATCAGTCCTGATAACAATTATTCACTATTGTATCACAAGAGACCCATCTGCATTTCATTTCTTCAGCTCCTTCTAGGCAGATTGAATACTACTCACTGGAGATTCTGCCTTCCTCCATGCCCTCTGAATCTAGGTTCCCTCTTGAAAGCTTATAAGCCAGTCACTTGTTGCCTTTGTAGCCCCCCCCCCCCCATTTTGGGTAGTCAATGGTTGCCCATCCCTGTCTACTCTGTGTGTGGAGAGGGTGGGAATGATTCTTGCTGTAACCCACACACTCATTTTTATCCCTTCCAACCCTAACTAATCACTGATGTTGCTGTCTATATAGATATGCTTGTTGTCAGCAGTTCATTTAAGTTGAATCATATCGTGTGTTGTCTTGTATCTGGCTTTTTTCACATGTTTTCAAGGCTCATCTGTGTGGTATCATGTATCAGCTCCTTTTGTCTCAATGTATAATATTCTAGTTTCTGTTTCTATCAGACTCTGTCCATGCCTCAGTTGGTGGGCATTTGAGTTGTTTCTGCATTTTGGCTAGCTAGCTCCCTGTGTTTCATGTGGACCAGACTACTTCTGGGTCTCCTTTTCAAGTAGCTGTTTTTGCTGGTCAGGAACACTTAACATTCCCCTGCATATCTCTCTGGTCTGCTTTGGACTTCTCTTTCTCATTTGAGAATCCTTTTCTATTTGATCAGTCAGTCCCTCATGAGCTTGGTGGAGGAGAGTTCACAGGCCTGTAAAAATACCCATGATGGAATTTCTGAATGTACAAAACAGGATCAGAGCCTTAACTGGCGCATATCAAGTTAAATTACTCTGTGTGGTAGTTTGGGTCCTAGATGAGATGTGCAAGTGTTTACTGAGGAAAACATCTATGAAGGAGGTTGGGAGAGCTGGCAGTTATTCTGCAGGTTTAACTTCCCTGAAGAAGAGGGAAGGAATGGAATGGAAAGGGCAGGCGGGAAAGAGGTCTTAGATTGTGTTGCAGGTCTAGGAATGTTCCAGCAAGATCATATAATGTTGCCTATCAGAGGAGTCCCACAGGATTAGTCTTGGTAAACAGGAGTCCTTGCTCTTGGCCTTCCATCTCAGCCCCAGTGGCCACTCCCTGTGCCCATCGTGCCTGTTGTGTGGTAGCTGATGGCGAAGGCCCATGCCATCCGACTTGAGGCATTTCTTTGCTTGCTTGCTCAGTGCCTCATCCATGGTGGATGTTGTCTGGTAGGTGTTGACACATGCGTTGACCCCAGACCTCCTCAGCTCTGACCCTCCCGTCCTTTTCCTTCCAGGATCCCAACTAGATCAAAGATCAGACCTTTGGCCCCGTCACACAGTGTGGTTGAATATATACATCCGTAGGTGCCGTCGAGTCGGTTCCTTCTGTGTTTGCCACACATACACAAATCAGTGCACTTGCCAGGACACCACAAGCAGAGAAATCTTTAGCTGCTGGACTGTCACCCTGGGCCTGGAACTCTCTAGGCCCCACAGACGACTCAGGACAGTGCCCATCTGCAGTGAGTGAGACAGTATCAGAGCCTCCTCTTCCTGTTCCCTGGTTTCTCGGACCACTCCTGACCCCCTTCTAGTTTGGGTTCTCTGAGGAGCAGATGCCAAGATAGGATTCGATGGGCAAGAAATTTATTAGGGAGAACACCCTGGGGCTGAGTACCCAAGAAGCATGGTAAGCATGGGCTTACTTGTACTTAGTAGTATTCGTGTAACTGTTCACTACAATTTAATAAGTAAGCCCGTGCTTACCTTGTTGACTGGGTAATTTGAAAAAAGAAGCTTTGATTCTTTGGGAAGGTGCAGTAGAGTTGAAAGAGAGCGAGATGCCAGCCATACCTAGAAGTAGCATTTTTGATGTGAAAAACGTGGAACTGTTCAGTACAGATTGTAAGTAAACACAAAGAAGCCTGTGCTTACCTTGCTTATTGGTTAATCTGATAATGAGAAATGCCTGTGAGGAAAAACATGGGGGGTGGGGGCCCTGGGGGAACCCTCAGACTCACCGCGGGTCTAACATCTAGAGGAGAGAGGGTGGGCAAGAAAAGCCAGACTATGGTGCAGCTGTTTCAGGTAAGGTTTTGCAAGCA